ATGATATAAGCAATTTGTAGATTAGATTAGCGTACGATCGTTAGAGAATTTTTAAAGTTAGCATGTTATCGAAATACTAATTTTGAACGGAATATTTTGACTAGTCATAAAATTTGCGACGATTGATCGTTTCATACGCCATTAATGATGTAAAAAACTAGACCTGAGCACTTCGAAATGATATTAAAAATGCAATATTTCGATTTTGTTTCACATTCCATAATGACTTCGAAAATGAAACAAAAATATAGAAAATATAATGGTGAAAAAAAAGGGAGCAAAGTTGGGGGGTCACGTGACCCCCAGGCCCTGCGTCCTCCCATGAATGTAAGGGTATATTAGAAGTGTAAGTGAAATTTGTTCTCACTATATTAATTACATTTTCTTAATCAGTGAAAATGTGAGCAAACATATCTTTGTTGGACGGAGGTAGTATGTCTTTTCCTCTTTGGTTTATTTGTTATTCGGATAATTATTTGACGAAAATGTTTACTGATTTACTTTAGAAATCCTACTCCTTGTACACATGCACCAGCGTTTTTATTTCTTGAATCGCATTGTTAAAACTATCACACTGTTGAGCATATTAGTGATTATTAGATGATACTTGAAGATTAACTTCTTGTTTGATTTTTTTTAATCAACTATACTAGAAAGACACGTTAGCAGTCATTTGGACGGAATACCATTTCATCAATCAAGAGGTGAGTTTATTGGACCTGAGACAAGTAATAGATTCATAGGAACTAAACGAAGTAACTCTGACTCTTTTATGGTGTCATCAAAAGAGAAATTTCCACAAGTGCGACCAAAATCACTCGAGAGCTCACATTTAATGAAGGTTCGTTCTTTTTATTTCTACGTCTTCCCAATTATTTTCCTTCTTGGCTTGTTATTATTGCAGAATAGGTACAGGGATGTTGTGGTCTTATTTTTTTTTAATCTCATTCCCGAAGTACATGTTTGGAACTCAATATTAGACTCCAGTAAACAGCAAAATATTAGCTTCTTTTTGTTTCTTAAGACAATCTATTGCTGTCTAATTCACGTTACAAAACATGCTAAAAAAGTTTACTATTTATTCTGATATCGGGAGTTCTCTGTTCAAGTTCAGCTACTGCGACATGCAGGGGGAGAGCGACCTAGGCGGCCACATGATGAGGAAACTTCCTTTATCACCCATCAGATGAGACCAATTTCGGCCTCTCTTATATCTCAATCTTCTAGTGGCGGTAACTCTAAATGGGATCGACATATTCCAATGAATCTTGGACCTTCATTACAGTATCATCCACATGCCTGTCAAGTTGTGCCATTTGGGTACCAGACACCATCAAATAGGTTTAAAGATACTAATCCTGGTCCTTCTGCCATATCTCGAACAGCTGCTGATGAAGGATCTAGGACTGGAATTAAAGGATCTGGAATTTTGAGTTCTATCAATGCAACTGGAGGTGTTTCTGAGAGATATCCTTCGGGAGTGCTCATACGTACTGATAAACAGAAGTCTGGTGTTTACATTTCGGAGCCAGAATCATCTGCTACGCCCAGGTTAATTCACGATACTAATGATTTTTCTAATTTTGTTTCTTACCTGAACTATCTGTGCAGCCGGCTAAAAGATTTATGAGTTTTATTTGTCTTTTTTAATGACAGTCAACACAGAATAGAATCGGCCAGTTGTCAAATGACTATATTTTATGGCGGTCAAGCCCACGTTTTCGACAAAGTTCACCACAATAAGGTCTGCTTTTTGCAATTTTTTGCAACCAGTTGACTGATACATGACTGCTCAACTGCTTTTTGTACTATTATCTTAAACAGAAATGTTCTCAAGTTTGTTTGAATTGATTAGCATGCAAAGAGAAAATGCATCCTTCAGTCCAGCCGTGATCCAATGTCATAGGATCTTTATCATCAAGCTTAATTTTAGCTATGCTTACAAGTATTATGCTTTTTATTTTAACTTTGGAAGTTACTTATATTATTGCCTAGAAGTGGAGGTTGGATCAAGGAAGCCTTTTCGGGTTCATGTATCAAGGAGTGCATGTTTCTACTTTGATCTTGGACAGGAAATGTACTGACGCTATGGAGGAGCATGTCTACGAAAGCCTCTCATAATGGTTGCTGGAAGCCAAGAGAACCACCCTCTGATTATGGTCACTGAACTTAAGATCTAATGTGACTAATTAGGAAAATGTCTTTGGAGATTTTCTTATAAATCTTCCTTGTGCTGTAGGGGCGTAGGGTTGTTAGGAGAAAGTATGGTTGGTAACAAATAGTCAAGATCTAAAAAGTTTGGCGAGTCATTCCCTTGGAAACATTTGGAAGTCCATATTTACGGGATTTTCCCATTTACAAAATGGAATGCTGGTGCTGGAGATTGTTGTTTTAGTAGTAAGATTGGATTAGTTTTTGCTCGTGTCGTTATTTTGACGATTATACAAATTTTCTTTTCTTAAAAATGTCCTATATAAATTTTGTTGGTTCAACCTTAGAAAATGGAAAAACAAATTGGAATTTTCAATTACAATTGCAACTTGAGGATGGTAAAATTTTTAAAATTACCATTGAGAATGTTTGTTTTAAACCTTCTTGACATCCAAAAGGTGTTTTTTTTTAACGCCCCAAAAGGTTGTGGATGTTGAATTACTCAAACCTTTTTCTGTGGATGTTGAATTACTCGAACCTTTTTCTTGCAAGTCATTCTTCTCTGCTCTTGTTGATTTGCAATTCCACCCCATCTGTCATGTTCGAGTCCATTTTGTTGAGGTGAAAATTATTACTGGTGATGGTTCAAAAGAAATATGCCTATTTCTCTCTTTGTAGTTTATGGTTGTGTGATATGTAAAAAGGTTTGGAAGGGAATTGATCATTTGTTTTTACGTTGTGATGATGGCTATGGTGTCAATTTTTTCTGGAAGTTGGTTTTCCATGGATTATCCTGAGCACTTGTTAGGGGTTACGTATTGAAAAGCCAATAAGATTCGATAATGGTGAGATGTGTGCAGTAGTGGAGAGCAGCGATTTCGGCTATATTTTCACTGGTTTTGCGAGAGACGACAGGATTTCTGAAGAGGGAGAGTAAGAAGTTCCTAATTGTAGGATAGGTCTTGAGTTTTAAGAATCACCTCGATTTCTACCTATAAAAAATCCAAGGTCATTCATTTTCCTTTAATTGGCCTTAGCTGGAAAATATATAGTATATTATGGATGTTAAGAGTTTTTGAGCTGTAGAAATTTAGGCCTCTAGGTCTGGTGACATAATGCAACTGAGCCCCTCACTGTCAAAGAACGAATGTAAAGTGGTGAAATATAGTCTCAAGGAAGCTATGGAAGGAACTACTTAATCAGTTAAAAGACAAGACTACAATGTACATTCTGATAACAGGTGCTATTAATTGGAGGACAATATTCATTTATTAGGACCCGGAACCAAAATATTTTCATGAACTACCTTTTCGTCTCAGTTCTTTAGAATCTTGGAGTATAATTCTGATGCTGGATTGGCTGTTGAGTAATTTTCTTGCTGTGAAATATCCAGAATTATTCATACATGTAAAAAAGCATGATGCCGAAGCTTACCTCTTTTTAGCGCTTATTTTTGAAGCTAGCACTAAAGGAATATCTTCATTTACGGAAGAAAAATTAGTTAAATCTTTTCTAATTGTACTGTCCAATTTCGTGTTCAATTCGTTGAGTTTTGAGCCATTACAATAATTGCAATCGCTCCACAAACCTTGACGAGTTTTATGGTCTATATCAGGCAGATATTATAATGGCCTTAGCTAGATCGAATGGAGAATCTTGGTCAACAACTTACGAGCCAAAATCTGCATCAGGACCTCCGACTGGAGATAATTGCATACCTGGTGACGCAAGCATTGCTACACCGAGGGAGGTACACGAGAGGACATTAGACGGAGGGAAATCCCACCATGGTTTTGGCTCTGGTGATTAACAAATTCTTACCCAATTGTTTACACACTCGTAAAATTCGATAATACCGTATTTTTCAATTTGGCAATGGAGTTTGCTCCATGTTTTATGCAATTGGTAGGTAATTATCAAGTGATGATCTCCTTGTATGCAAGTTACATCATATAGCTTTAGCTTTTTATGCCAATCTATACTTGCACTTTCCTGTATATTAAAATGTGGTGACACTTAATATAATATTGGATGCACATTGCAGGCAGTCGTTCAGGGGGGTATCGTAACTAAGGAATCAAAAGGCAGAGTTCAAGCAACCGAAATCAATGCTAGAGGTAAAGGCGGGGCGTAAGTTATACTTGGCTCTGTTTGTGCTTGCTAAATGAATCTGTCCAATTAGTATTTTACATTTACCTCCTGAGAGGTCGAATCTTCCATGCTTGATTATTTTTAAAGCTTTTCGCTTCTTTTTATATCTGTAAAAACCTCATTAAGCACTCAAATTAATTATGAGATCCCGATATTTGTCGTGTGTGCAATTTGACATCTTTATCATGTGAATGAAAACTAGCTTGTACTATTTGTCACTGTGTGGGACCTAATCATATTCTATGCGTATCCTCTTGACTGCAAATCGGCCTGATATTACATGGGGTATATTGAAAGTGAACCACCGTAAATGTGGGTGTTTGCTTTGTTTTGTGATTTCATTATGCTTATTACTCTCGTAAGGACTTGGGGCTTTAATCCCTATCAGACTAGGGGGAGCAACTCTTCCTACTTTATCAGTTATACTAAAAATAAGTTGCCGTCCAAGGTCTGAAACATGCTTTGTACTCAACCCGATGATCCACACTTAAGGGTCGAACCCACAAAGATGTTATTTTCAACTTACAACAAAGAGTGAATAGTCCTTGGGTTTTCACGAGTATCGCCACACATCTTAATCCCAATCACTCTTTCAAGAATATGACGCGATAATAGAGCTATGGTGGTGTTGGTAACACGTTGTCTTGTAATATGGGTTCATGTACCATTTAGGTTGGATTTTATCGAGTATGAGGAATAGTTGTGACATGGGAACGCCATCAACTTGTTTCTATGTTAGACGAAGAAAAATCATGGATTGTGTAGATTAACGGTAGCTGTGTATATATTTTCTTTCAGTATGTCAAAGCTAAAGATATCAAATCTCACAGTTTCAAGTATGAAATTTTTTTTCTTGTAAATTTTACAACCCTTATTATACCAGTAATGTTGTTTCAAATACAACAATGCCCGTTTGAGCGGGCAAAGCTTTGTGTATTGGTATGATCAAGAAACCTCTCTTTCCTTGCACACTCTTCCTACCATTTGAACGACATAATAAGTAGATTATTTTGTTGGTTACTTAAAATAATTAACAATTTTTCACTTGAAAGATTTAAATGTTGAAAAGCAAAAAGTAACTGATCTTTTGTTCTTTTTTTCTTAGCTTAGCGGAAATTCGTTAGCTAAGCTTAAATAACTCTCTTTTTTTTCCGTCTATTACCCGAAACTCCATATTATTATCCGTCTCGTAATCTCTGATTCCTACTCATCAATCAGTGAATGTGACTCGGTTAATCCAAAATTGTCTACTATTTTGAAGATTGTATAGTAGATGTTAAACGTATTAGGATATTCGCTCTATTTAAATACTATTCAAGCGAGGAAATGAACAAAAAGATTACTGAAAATCGAAATCTCGAAAACTGGGCCGTGGTGAAATGCACGTTCTTGAGATGGTGACTGCTGAAATTTGTGGATAGAAGTTCTCGTTTAAAGGTTTTGGTCTTTGACATGAAGCTCTGTAGTGATCGTGAATACCCCTTTCGAGATGATCGTAGTTAAAGACGGGGCAACCTAAGAGGACGTATCTTCAAAACAAGATTGATTCCGAAAAGTCTTCAAGATGGAAATATGAGTCATCGTGAAGTAGAATATACCAACTCTAAATGTAGTCAATCGTGCACCTTTCTTACAATCCGATTTTAAGGGCATAATGTGGTTGTTACATTTGTTCTTAAATCATAAAATTTTGCAATGCACAAGACAAATCTAACGGAGAAACTGGATGGAAATGTCATCGGATGGTCATCGTCATAAGCTTTTGCAATGCACATGACTATTTCCTATCACTCATGAGCATTTTCATTTTTTATTTGTTCTGAATTTCCTTGTTTTTGATTTTTTTGTAATAAGCTTTTCCTTTATATATCCATTTTTGGGATTTTCTTTCCTTTTGAGAATCCCTAAACCAAACCTCAGTTTGTTCTCCTGCACGCCATGTGCAGGAGAAAGGAATGCGCTTTGGGCAAAGCAAAGTCATGCACATGCAAAGCCTGCTGTGGCAGGCCTTGTGTGTGCATATATGTTCTCAGCCGCAATTGCAGCTGACAACATTAATTTTGTTTTTTTATTTTTTTTTAATTTTTTTTGCTTGGCATGCCTTGGTTGTGCATATATGAATTTTTTCTTCTTTTTTTGTTTTTTTCCTAGTTTTTTGCCTATAAAACACGAGTTTCGTTTTACATTTCATATACGTTTCACAGTTATGTTAAAAAAGAAACTACGTCGATAAATTTTACTCAAATTTAAGTCAAACTACGTCGAACGAGTACAACAATAAGTGGTTTAATGGTTGTCATCATTGTCAAACCCATGGAATGCACCATAATCACTGCAAGCAATCCAGTGTACCTATCTTCCTGAGTATCGTCCCAAAAGTACTATGGATGATACAGTTCTTTCACCAACTGACTCCTACATTTAAATATAAGCATAGTAGAAAATA